GGTACACAACAACAACAGCAGCCATTCTCTTAACGAAGAAACCATCAGGATTTTGTAACAAGAGATGACTTGCCATTGATTCTTTCCCATGGATATAATCATTGCAAGAGAGGAAAAAAATAGTGATGATAATGATGAGAAGAACAGCCGCTTATGTTTCATCGGATTTTTTAGTCTACAAAGCATTCCTTTTATAAATGCAATGTCTTTTGCTCCTTTTAGCCTTTCTGTGAGGTAGAATAAGCAGTGATCATCCAATTTCACAGGTGCAGAAACTGAAGTTCAGAAAGATCAAATTATTTGCAAAAGGTCATATTTAGAAGAAAATGAGAGAGAGTTGGCATACAATTCATGTCTTCTGATTCCTAGTCCAATAGCCTTGACAAACAGAAACGTAGACTCAGGTATACAGGAGCAAGTCTGGCACTATCAGCTAATCCTTTGTGTTCTTCTATTAAACATCAACAATGTCACAGAACATCAACATCAAACAAAGACACTCTGTGACCATGATAGATAAAGGGAAAAAAGTCAATTCAGTTCACGTCTGAACATGGAAAGCCATAAACATTTTTTTAAACCACAAAAGTGACCGAATATCCCCTTACCCTGTCTTATATGAGTGACTACTATTTTCTACCCATTGCTGCTTTACTATTTTTCTGGGCATTCCTATTTCCTGTTAAGATTTATTAAGATGTTCAGTCATAAAATTACCCATACTTTCTGATAGCATTTACCCTAGTACACAATCCTGCTTCCTTAACTCACTCCTAACTCACTGCAGTCTAGTCAGAACTTGCCCGTAGGTGACCTTCCAGAAGGTTTTTGGAGGCAGTAACTCACACTGGAGGAGACTGCTGATCTTCCTCCTGCAGATTGGTAAATTTGAACCCCCAGAGAGGCCCTGTGTCTTGCTTAACAGAGTAATTCTCTATGGACTCTACCATCAGAGAACCTCCTGCTTCCTTAAACCCTCCCCCAAATCACCTTACACCTGCCTAATTCCTATCGTTAAGTCCTTCCAACATCTTTAACTGAATTGTCCCTTGACTCCCCGTGGCATGCACAATCAGTTATAAACCCAGCTTGTTCAACAAGTGTGCTTCCAGTGATGTTAGCTGGAGGATCTTGAGAAGCCTTTTCTTGTTAGTTATTAGTCATTGCCACTTATTATTAGGAATTTAGGGAACACAGGCGGCCTAAAGGTAAGAGGTGGCACTGAAATCCCAAAGGCACAAATCCATTGGCTGCTTTGAGGGAGAATGATGGACCAGTCTCCTTCCATGCGATTAACTGCCTCTGAAAACTCGCTGGAGGGTCAGCTATGAGTTGGTTCCAGCTCTCTGGTGCACGCTTGCACGCGCGCACACACAATACCAACCACCCAAAACCAACAACGAAAACCCCAACACAATGATGGCATAGTCGATAAGGAGCTGTGGTGCTAAGTCAAAGCTTGTGCTTCTCTAGGTTCAAATCCACCAGTGACTCCTCAGGAGAAAAACAGACACTATCTTCCTGTGCTCTTTCTAGCTTCAGATGCGAGTCAGAACCAACTGGATGGAAATAAGTTTGAGGGATTTTATTGTTATTATTGTCTGGTTTGGGGTTCTCTTTGTGTGTGTTTTTGTGGTTTTGTTTGTTTGTGGTGTGTTTTGCTTTCCTTATTATTACTATATGACAGAAATCTTGAAACAATACCTAAAAGCAAACAAAGATACTACATTAAAATTTCTGGGGAATTTTTGAAAAATATAAGATTTCTGGATCCTATACTCAGAAATGTTTCTGTGGGGTTTTCTAGACCAATGTTAATTTCCTTTTAATCTAGGATAGATTTAAGATCATGTGAATAGCCTTGATTGTTCTGCTGCCTCAAAGGAGCTGCAGTGCTAGAGTGTGTAGACCTAAGCCAAAGGCCATGACCTTCTGACAGTTCAAATCCAGCGGTTGCTCCTCAGGAGAAAGACAGGCAGTGTTTTCTCACTGCCATTTCTTAGGGAAGCTAACAGAGGATCACAGTGAGTCATAGCCAACTGAATGACAGTGAGTTCGCATTTCAATTTTAAACCAGGCCAGCTTTGGGGCCAGCAGTTAGCTTATATTATTGTTATTATTATTATTACTATTACTACTACTATTAAAAGTGTATCGCGATGGGAAAGTCTGCTGTTAGGGACCTCTCTAAAGTACTCAGGAGCAAC